GTTGTATTGATAACCTGCATTTCTGTTATCTTATTTAATGCCGCATTACTCCGTTCACTTCTTCACTTCATTTCTTCGAGCTATTAGTACCGGTTGCGAAAAAGTGCTCACCAATTTTCATGTGGTAACGCGAAAAAGACTTAATGCTAACACACCGACCTACTCTCCTTAGTTGAAGGCTGTGTTCAATAGAATCCAATACAAGCATTTCAATTACAACCAGTGTTTGACCGTCACGTTTAGTTAATCTGCGATGTTGCTTATTGAATAAATTTGGTAATTCTCGACGTACGTGACTGCTTTTGTTGATCTCCAAGTTTTAATTTTGGTGCTTCGTCGGATCACTTCGTTCTTGCACGATTGTCGATTTTCCTCATAGGTGGTTTGCCCCGTTAATCCGGCTTTATTAAGNTATTAAGATAAAGACTGGTTTTGAATCCTTGGTTAAGACCAGTTCTCGATATGCGTAATTCACCTTTTCATTCAATTGCTCGATGGCTAGTAAAATCCTGAATCCGGTCAGGAAGAAAATCTGCAAGCATAGTCTGAAAGATATTTTCGAATTTGTCGACCGAATTCGGGACTTGGACGTCAAAGATTTAACAATGAGCTCATTAGACATATAATCACTTTTTACAAATGTGCCACTGTTTGAGACGGTATCTTACCTTTGCCAGTACATTGATGAGGAAAACATACAAGTTGGAATCCCAACTACAAATTTGAAGGAACTATTATTACGATGTACAAATACTATCCAATTTTCTTTTAGTGGTACAATCTACAGACAGACGGATGGTGTAGCCATGGGTTCCCCACTTGGCCCGCTTCTTGCAGATGTTTTCGTAGCCAAACTGGAAAACAACAAACTACGAGACATACATCAACTCCCGCTATACTGCCGTTATGTCGACGATATTTTTATTCTTTCCGACAAGAGTATTTTACCGAACATAATATTGGATCGTTTTAACCGAGCTCATCCGTCAATCGACTTTACAATGGAAACAGAAAATGAAGATAAGATTCACTTCTTCGACGTCAACCTGAAGAAGGGGCCCAGTGGAAAGTTATCTCGTTCTATTTTTCGAAAGCCAACATGGGACAGCCAAAGTTTCGTCCCAATCAAATTTAAACGAAACTTAGTCCAATGCTTGGCCTTCAGAACTCGAATGATTTACTCCAAGGATCTAGTGGAGGAAGAACTTAAATTCATCAAATCCGCACTCCTTAATAACGGATACCCGGAGCGGTTCATCGAGAAGAACCTCGTAGAAAAGTCCACAATGCCTAAACCAAGCACGGCCAAAAAGAAAGAACTATTCTTGCAGCTCCCGTTCAAAGGAGACTCGAGTGGTGATATACTAAGAAGACGTCTTGAGAAAGCTATTACAAGAACATTTCCAGCCGCGACTCTACGTTTGATGTTTACAAGCCGGCCTGAGCTCTGCTCGAACCTCAAGGATAAGCTGTCCATCCTCTCCTCATCTATGATTACTTATTCTTTCACTTGCACATGTTCGGCAAGTTATGTAGGACGAACGATGAGGCAGCTCTCCCAAAGGATCAGAGAACATAAACCGGCTTGGCTGAGAACGGATTGCAAGAAAACAATAACCAGTGCGATTACGGGCCACCTCGCTGATACCGGACATCAGCCAGACAACGATGCTTTCAAAGTCATCTACAAAGTACCCCAAAACAAATCAAAGCAAGTTCGGAAACGTCACTTGGCAACAGCGGAAGCTGTAGCAGTCAAAATCATGAACCCACCACTGTGCAAACAGAAGATGGTTGCCGCACTTCAGCTGCCCTGGCCCCAATCAAACCACGTGATGACCCGAACCATGACCCCAATCGTATCGTGATGACGCAACAGAGCGTGACAAATGACACATGATTAAAAGGTCACCGAAAATTCCAGAATTGACCTTCCCCCCTCCCCTTCGCCCACTGTCCCCATTTTATCCACTGGTCCTGATTAAACTTGACAGATATTGTTGCATTTTCATACATAACCTCTATGGTCCAATCACATTAGATATAAACACGCACACATAACTGTAAAGGCCTGAAGATGAAGTTACGAAAACAAGCTTGTTCGCCATACTGTTTTGCTTTTGATATTCATATGGGAACCTTCCGTGAATCCCTTGTTTGATTAACCGTTCGTGTAGATCATGGAATAATTGGTTTCACATTAAATTCTTGTACCNCCATGATTTCTTTGACCCATACGGATGTGACACTGTATGATTATAAATTTGAGCGTTCTCATCACTTAGTATACTTTCATAAGGCAGTGTTCACCACGGAACAAGTAAAACATACCCGATCCAGTAGGATTCTACGGATTGCTGCTTTTTTAGTTTGTTTGTTCAATCCAGATCGCTCTACCGTGCGGCCACATACTTTTCCATTGCTTTTTTCGCACACCCAAAGTCTGGCCCCTTATATACTCTTTATCCAAATCTTTCCATTTGAATTACCTACCCCCTCAAACTCTCGTCTAGTATGTTATGAGCATCTTGGTCCATTCATCCACTTTTTCCCAAAGTTATTCATCTTCAGATGGTGAATGTTTGGATTAGCCCATTCGATTTTTCGCAGGTACCAGACACTGTTGATGTTGGATGTGGGTTTCATTACTTGGCAGATTGTTAATTCCCTACTGTTAGAATGCAGTCAAGTGCGGTTGATATATTTGTGATACCCAACAAAGAGCACTGCTGTTTCGTCCTGTTTGGGACTCGTCATCTCCATTATATTTCTAGTATTTTGCGATAACTTGCTTTGTGCTGCCTTTCTTGAATGCTCGCTGTTTCGGAAAACCGCTCTTTGATTTTTCTACTTTTTCAACTCACACGCAGAATCCATTCTTAGTGGTGCGCTCACATGATGCATGATGCACCTATACAAACGGCAAAATCGGCCCGGGACCTTGGAACAACACACCATCTGTATTAGTAAAGCGGTTTGATTCCGCTGACAAACCGCATCTTGTGGGATGAAATTGATCTCCTTTGGTATCATTATTTTTCGGAGGTCCACAAAAATCACTGAAAAACTGTTTTATCTTTGTTCTGGCTCATCAGTAGTGCAAACTTTGTCCCTGTTGGTGGAACTCAAGCCACAAACCTTCCCACTGGAAGCCGAAACTCTGACTTCTGATCTACATCATCGATAGTCAACACTTGCGCACATGATGATATAACCTAATGATGTTATTTCTTTATTCCATGCATGCTCTCAGTGCATCTATTGTTCCTCGTTGATCAGTCACCTTTTTACTACACACCTTAGTGTGATGAATAGCAAACGGGGTAAACCGGACGACAACAACACTGCTTCTAAGTTTATTTATTCCCTTCATTTGTATCAGAAGTTTGAGAGGCGGTGCATTTCATTTTTTCTGTTTCGGAGAGGTAACTTATATTCCTCGCTGGTCATATCCTTTCCTATTCCTTTTTTAAAGGGTCGCATAGCATTGCTACAGTTGTATCTTCGGAAAGTCAAAACTGCTCCGGATTTGGATATTGAGAAACTGGCACATGGCACTGTGGGCTACACTGGAGCTGATATTCAAAATCTGGTGAATCAGGTACTTTACTCAATTTGTTTAAATGCTTGCACTTCTCAAGATTTCATCTCCAGTGATTTGTTGTGATTCCCCTCCACCCCACTCCCCCGTGGATTGGGGACAGCTCTTCTCAAGCAAGTCACTGCGGTTGACTTGTGCGTGCTAACAAAACGTTCTTTCTCCCCAATGTGTTTGTGATTGCACTTTCATCGCTTGTCAGTAAGGATCCAAGCTCCTAATGATTCACTAAACTTTATTGCCTGCTTCTGACTGACGGCAAAGGGAGGATGAGTGCTGGTTCGTGCTCCTGCCAGTCATGCACGAGTACCTAGGACATCGAAGGTGCAACATGTGTACCGTGTCTAGTGTCTTTCGTCTAGCGGTTTAAACCCTTTTACTCAGTATCTGCATTGTCGCCCATCAAAACGCAGTGTTATATAACTTGCGAGGAATAGCATATGTTAATCAATTCAGTATTTTTTCTATTCGTCCTATACCCCCGGAGTTTTGCCGCAGTCATTACGCAGGCGAAACTATGGGTTTCCACCCACGTAGCGGAGATCTGCTCTAAATCAAAATCCTTGGAGAACAGAACTTGCAGTTCCCTAACAAGCTTCGTTACACCATTTCCAAATATCGTAAAGGCCATGACAACCCTGCGTTCCGTGGCGTCCCAGGACTTGGATGTCCTGACGGATCTCCGCTCCAAAATGTGAGTCTATCGAGACTGACCACAAGACTTGTGCCGGAACGGCTTTTGGGAAAGCTGATGCCGAGGCCCAGATAGACCAAGGTTTGAAGTGCCCCACCTTGATAACTGTCGTTCAGATATTGAGGATAGACTTCTTAGCATATGCTCAGAACACGGTCTGTTCCTCGTTAGCATAAACTTCAGACACTCAAAGCGTCCCCTCGCCACTTGGAATCAGACTGATCATACAACTATTAGCTATAGATAAACAGACTGCGTGGAAGACTGCCGTTCGTATTGGTCTACCTACTTGGACCCCGACTACGCACTGGTTTGTGCCAAGTTGTCTATGCGATTTGGTGGCCGCAAGAAGGTGCGATAAAAACAGCCTGACGTCGCCAAGCTTCCTGACCCGGCCGTGTTAGCTGGTTACCAAAACGAGTTGACCGCAAGGCTAACTCCTATTCCACCAAGAAGTGTAGATCAACACTTGACAACCATTTAAAGTGCAAAGCAAACATTTAGTTTATACAGTTGTGGCTTGTCCCGCCGAGTTGTAAATCACTGGGTCTCCTCCAACTCTCCCAAACCTCTTGACGTGCATCGGGCAATCCAGGCAGGCCGCGATTATAATGAACAGCGCCTCTCTCTATCTCTCTAAAGCGTGAACTTACGATGATTTCGAGAGACGACCGAGAGACCTGATGGACGCTACGTGCAAAGGAGATGGAATCGGCAGCCAGGTGTGGAAACACCCGGCGACTATTCCAGCTCATCCGTGCCACGGGATCTGAAAGACAATGAGTTAGTGAAACAATCTACGAAGGAGACGACACGCTAATAAATAGTCTTCACTGACACTTGAAACGCTGGGCAGAGCACTTCACATCGCAGTTCAACCAGCCCCCGTGCTGGATGCTCCAAGCAGTTCTCTTGAGAGTGCACCCTTGTCATTATCCATTGGACCGCCCTCAGAAGCGCAGATCCGAAACGAACTCCAAGCCCTGAAACGCCACAAGGCAGTTGGATCAGACAGCCTGCCACCTGTCCTCTCTAAAGACGGTGGAGAAGCTCTCGTAAGAGAAGTTGTGAGATTGTTCTCGAAGATCTGGGAAACTGAAAGTGTACCCCACACATGGGGAGAATCGATTGTCACACCTATCTACAAGAAGGGCTGTCGCAACGCCTCTTCCAACCACAGGGGCATAAGTCTGATCCCAATAGGGCCGAAGCTGCTGGTGTCGGTTTTATTACGCAGGTTGTGCCCATTCCGTGAGAAGCAAATCCGCGAGGAGCAGTGCCGGTTTCGTGCACGCCGTTGCTACATAGATCAAATCTTCACCCTCCGTCAGCTACTAGAAAACCGCCACGCATACAGACGACAAACCATTTTCGTGTTTTTAGACATCGGAGCGGCTTTCGACTTTATCGATCGCCACACACTGTGGAACTGTTTACGGAGATACGGAGTACCCGAGAAGTATGTTTTACTCCTAAAAGCGCACTATCACCTGACCTCGCGGAGGGTCATGGTCTATGGTGAACTTTCACCCTCATTTCCTGTCGCCGGTGGGGTGCAACAGGGTTGCCCTATCTCTCCGTTTCTCTTCAACTTTGCCATAGATGATGCTATCAACTTCAAAGTTTAAAATGTTACTACATGATTGGCTTGGTCCAGCACCCAGTCTCACCCTGACGGGGAAGTAGTAGAGGAAGTAGACAAATGTTGTTATCTGGACACCAATATCTGACCTGGCGGACGAATCACGGATGCAGTGTCGGTGCGCATACAAAAGGCTCGGTTGGCATTTGCTAACTTGAGACATCTGTGGCACCGTCACGACATCCGGCTGTCTGTTGAGGGTCGAGTATATGCTGCAGCAGTTCGGTCAGTCCTGCTCTACGATGCAGAGCCTTGGCCACTACGGGAACAAGATAAAAGTAGATTGTCGGCGCCGGCGCTACATACGCCTTTCATTGAAAGGGTGTGCGTATTGCGCAATTCTACGCACCGTGTTGCTCTATGGCTGCGAAACCTGGCCTCTCCGAGCAGATCACGTCCAACGACTATCCGTCTTTGACAATCGCTGTCTGCGCAACATCGCTTGCGTATGATGGTAGCATCACGTGAATAACGATGAGGTCAGATGACACGTGCCAGGATCCGATAGTATTTCGCTGAGCAAAATAATCTCACAGCATCGACTTGGGTGGCTAGGGCACGTCCTACGAATGCCTGAGGAATATCTGCCACACCGTGCACTATTCGCAGACATCGGTCCAGGCTGGAAGAAACAGCGAGGTGGACAGAGTATGAGGTGGCGCATAGGGTTAAAGAGACTGTGCTCGAGTCTGGCTTCTGTTGGGTCACCCCGGCTGAGGCCCCAAAGATTCAGATTGTCTTTGGCTGGAGACACTACGGGATATGGCATCAGTGGTGTGAATGCATTTTCTCCTGTGCGCAATCCCAAAAATAAAGAAGAACGTAAAATCACCTCAAAATGTCGTGCATTAAACAAACAATTTTTTGCTCCATCAAGTGAACTGTTTTATTTGCTCTGCTTCTGTACCTGTATTTTTCGTTAACCCATGGTTATTTTAGCGCCATATCTGCAAAGATTGGTTACATATATATA